CATTTATGGGTGGGCTCAACCCTCAGGATGGTTGACTGTGAGGCCCAATACTAACCACATTGTGCAATTTTTTGTGTGTGTGCTGACCAAGCAGAACAATAGAAAGCAAAATGAAACTGAAAACAACTCAACAAAAAAACCAACTAACACTAACTACAAAAACAACAAGAACAGCAACAAAACAACTAATCAGAAAAGAAAAAGGAGACAAAAAACAAAAATTAAAATTAATAAATAGCCCTGGCTGGTGTAGCTCAGTGGATTGAGCACAGGCTGCGAACCAGACATCGCGGGTTTGATTCCCAGTCAGGGCACATGCCTGGGTTGCGGGCTATGACCCCCAGCAACCGCACATTGATGTTTCTCTTTCTCTCTTTCTCCCTCCTTTCCCTGTCTAAAAATAAATAAATAAAAAATATTTAAAAAAATTAATAAATAAAAGAGCAAAAGCAACAACAAAAGACAAGAAACAAAAAGAATTAGAGAAGGAAAAAAGAAACAGAAGAGAATGTGAAAGGAAAGAAGGAAAAGAAAGAAAAAAAATAAATAATAAAAATATAGAGAGAAAAAGTGAAAATAAATTGGTAAAGAAAAACAGGAAAAATAAGAAGAGAAAAGAGAATAAGAGATATGAAAGAAAAAAGAAATGGTGAAGAAAAAAAAAGATTAAAAAAGAAAAAGTGTGGTTTGCCTCAGCAGATTGTTGTGCCTGCTGTGATCAGTATCTGGATACACTGAATGTGAAGTTCCTTGAATCCTGCTCCAGTGTTGTTTGAAGCTGGCCACTTGTGCCAGTCTCAGGCCTCCAGAGAGGTTCTCTGTTGCAAGCCCATGTCAGACGCTTTCCTCACCTGGCTCTTAGCAGTTTTGTCAAGTTGGAAGTTTTAGTGGACATGCTGGCGGGGCCTCCAGAGCCCAGTGGTTGAGTCTGCCTTGGGTCTTTGAATGTCTCCACTGTGAGCTTCTGTCCCCCCACCCCATGGAACTGTGCTCAGCTAGGGTATTCAGGACATGGCAGGGATGATTAAAAGTCTTGGGGGTGGTGCTTGAACTCTGTAGGAGGAAAGGTGGACACTTCCTCTCCTTCCCATGGCTGCAGGGGCTAAACTCTCTGGGGAACTCAGTTTGATTCCCCATAATGCAGCAGCAGAGCCCAGGACCTGCCTGTCTGACTCCTGGACAAAAGTCTGCTTGGGAGACACAGTTGCAAAAACCCATGTCTGTATGGTTTGCTGACACCTCCGTACCACCTAACCAAGCCAGAGGGGATGAAAAAAAAATCAGTCTTGCTTGGTATTCCAGTCTTTCTGTGTGTGGCTGGTGACAGCAGGGCACAGCAAAACTTTTAGCTCCAACTGAGCTCCCAATGGGCCAAATATCTCACTGCCCCCATCCCCATCTAACTGAACAGGACAGGGCCAAATTTCCAGCCCAGAGCCATACCCCTTTGCCTTGGGGCAAACCAAGTGATTCAGCATGTGGGGGTAGGGGCACCACACAGGCATTCAATGTGAATGAGAGTGGTCATTTTCCTCAAGCCTCACCACCCTGACTCTGACTGGCTCTCTGCCCAAAGTCCTTCCAGAGAACAGAGGGTGCTTCAAAGCCACAGTTGGGTATACCGAGCAGACCCCTCCTCCACATAGGAACAGCTGCATTGTCCCTCTAAGCAGTCATAAATCAGGACAGACTTCCCAAGCCAGCATTGTAACAATGGGCTTGCTCCTTCGAGTCTCCCAAGTGGGTCAAATTCCCATTGCTTCCCACTGCCCAATGCTATACTGGCTCCCCTTCCAGTCTCTTATTACTCTGGATTGGAGTTCCCTGCACGGGGCTGAGACCTCATGCTCCCAAGGGGAGGGAGCTCCACTGCCCCAGTGTGTCCCACCTGTACAAGAGGGCTCACCTCTGTTGCTGTGTGTTCCCATCTTCCTCCATGCTCCTGCTTACAAATTTTCACATCAGCTACACTTCAACTGGTTTTTCAAGATGAATACTCTGCAGTTTAACTGCAAGTCCTGTCAGGGTCTGGGAGCAAGGGGATGGAACTTCCAGTTACTCTGCAGCCATCTTGGGATCCCCCTGTTAGGTTATTCCCATTCTGAGAACACTGCATTAATTTTTTCCTGCAGGTAACAACTCTGTTTTTAAATGAAGTTTGTTTTAAAATGAACAGGTTATTTGTTTTTTAATGCCCAGAGGCAGTCTTGTAAGTATTCAGCTTCTTTGTAGTATCTTTGATATTTGCTATATGAAAACCAAATACAACAGAATGTGTTCTTTAGTCTGTTTCAGTCTGTGTGTCACATGGGGAGGGAAGTCAAATAGGATATTGACAACTCAAACCTGCAGGTGGTCAGAAAAGCAAAATGATCTTCACAGGTGGTGTGAGGCATAAAAGGCCTCTACACAGGTATGTCTAGCCAAGCTGATGGCCTCTGGGTGAGTATATGTATGGAGGGAGAGTGGTATTGAAGAGAAGTTTTGTATCTAAATACCTAGAGAGCAGGTAGAGACCAATGGGAGGGGAGTGCAGTTAGGGTTGAGTAGAGGGGGCTAGATTATTGGTGGTTGTATTCCAGCCTAGACCAGGGATACAAGTCTTATAGCAAGATGGGCTATTAGAACAAACCATTTTCAGAAGCAGGAGACCCCACTATGTTAAGGTAACAAAGTGTAACTGGAAGTTAAGGGAAAGGGGTAATAGACCTGATATTTAATCAGGTATACCTGTAACATTTGTAACATTTGTAGGGTTCAGAAAAAGTTCAGTTTGGGATCTACATACCATGCGTATAAATATTTGAAATGTTTAAATCGCTGAATACAGCATATTTTATTTAAAGGTTTATCTCCTTCCATGAGAGATGTGCCTTCATAACTACCTGAAAGTCCAGGTTGGGATTTAGAATTCTCAGGCTCCTCTAAGTCCTGCTCCAACAGTGAGGGAAGAGCTGCTCCCCTCTCTCCTCCCCTTGCCCTAGCTCCTCCTAGACCAGGCACTGTCCTGTCCCACTCCTCAAGCCTGGGAGTACAGACTCCAGCCTGTGTACTCAGCCCTCCCAAGGACAACCCCAACAGGAGCACATGGACCCTGGCAGCAGGTGTGGGGACTGTTCAGGGGTGCCAGGGAGTATGGGTTAGTAGGGGCCCACCCTGTATTCTGTGGGCCAGGCTCCTCCTGGCCCTGTAGGGATGGGCATGGTTGGAAGAGAACAAAGTGGGGCCTGTAAAGCATGGAGCTCAGAACACAGGTCCCTTTTGCTTGGGTCTAAAAGCAAAACTGTAATATCAACTTATACAATGTAAATACTGACAAATGAGAATAAGTTTGAAGGTGCTCAAATCATACAACTTGGCCAGCTCTTTCAGTTCAAATAATGGCAAAAAGAAGCCCTTTGCCTTCTGTCTCACCACCTGATTCCAGTCATAAGTAATACTATGTGAAGTACATTTTAAAATGTCAACATTGGTGACCAAAAAGGAATGTGGGAGTGTTGAGTTTAGTTCACTTTAACAAACATTAAGTACCTACTAAGAAAAACTCATTGCCTAGGGATGTGGGAAGGAAAGATAAATAAAACCCTTTAAATTCCCAACCGTTCAGACATTCATTCCAGGGGTTGGTGTTATGGGATAAATAAATAAATAAATAAATATTATATATAAATTAGATTATTATATATAATATATATAAGGATATGAGATGTGCTACCACAGAATACTGTATGCGAGAAGGCATCAGTGCTATGAAGGAGGTATCTAGGAAGCCGTAACTAAATGCGGAATGGAGGTTGTCTAGTCTGAAACCCCTTTCCTCTTCTGTGATCCTTCTATCAGGTCACCTTTGACTTTATCTTATTTTTCCTTGCGCAGATTTCAGAGATTAAGTTCATTCTCTCCCTTTCCTCTTTTTTTTCCTAATTACTTATGGCATATTTCAGATCTACACAAAATTATAAAGAATACTACTATAAACATTAATTTACCCACCACCCAGCATAAGAAATGGAACATTACAAATATAGTTGAAGCCTGCAGTGGATCCTTCCCCAATAAAGTCCCCCTCCCTTTCTTTTCCCAAAAGGTAACCACCATCCTAAATGTGTTCATCTATCCAAGCATGTGTTTCTGTATGGCACCTTTGTATACACTTTTTGCACACCTGACGTATTCTATTTGTATCCACAATCAATATATATGGTGGCCATTTTGCATGTTCTTTTAGACTTCATATACATTGTACTATGTTTGCACCCTTCTGGAACCAGCATTTTCTCCTTACACATTTTTTTTGCTTCCATTACCCATTCTTAGCCCCTGTGCCTGTCAGCCCCTGTGGGTTCTAGTCTCCTCCCCAATCCAGCCCTTGCCATCCTGTTTCATTTTCCTGCAACAATCCCAAGCCAGTGAGTTAAGGCTGGTCCTACAGGTGAATCTGAGCTTCTTCCTCTGTGGCTTTAAACTAGTGCTTCTCAAACCTGAGCTGCATCAGAAGCCCCTGGAAGGTTTGTTAAAACATGCCTTGCCAGGCCTACCCTCAGAGTTTCTGATTGAGGAGGTCTTGGGTGGAGCTTAAGCGATCCTGAGTGGTGATGCTGATGATGCTGTTTTGAGGAACAAACTCTGAGAACCACTGCTCCAAATCAATGTCTGGGCCCAGGATCAGCAGTACCATCTGGCATCCAGACAAGCTGGACAATCTAAGAGGTTTCCTTCAAAACTGTGCTCTAGAGACTCTGTCTAGCAGACATATAATGCAAGTCACATGAGTAAATCTAAGTTTTCTAGTACCTACATCAAAAAAGAAACAGGCAAAATTAATTTTAATAGTATATTTTAACTCAACATATTATCATCTAAACAGGTAATTGATATACAATTTATTAGTGAGACAGGTAACATTTTTTATAGTTACAGCACATCTCAAATCACACTGTATTTCAGCTTGCCAGTGACTAACAGTAGACAGAACAGCTCTAAAGACTTGACATCCATTTCTCACTTTACAAATATTGTGTTAAAATTGACATTTTAATTTATTTTGGGCTGCCACAAACTAATTTAAAGCAAGCTTACAAAATGGTGGAAAGTGATTCCTTTCAAAACAAGAGGTAAGAGAGATTTGAGTCGGGATTATTTATCTAAATAAAATCTGCCTGCATTTCATTTTATTAATGAAAACAAACTTAGTCAAATACATCTACTGTCAATACATATACTGTCAAATACATCTATAAAATAAGTTAGATATCATTGGATAGCACATTTTGGGTAATAAACTTTGCAATGTTATCAGTGCTTAATAAAATGCCCATGAACTTAAAATGAAAAACCTAAAAAGAATGCACAATGAGGTCTTCCTTCTTTCTCGATCTTCTTTCCATTCTTCCAAACTGCAGGATGAAATGAGAGAAAATGAACAATTACACAGCACTAACCAACTCCAATGACTATAAATCTAAGAAAATAGCCTTATGTGTATCTGCTGCATTTGTGTGTTTATCTCAACAAGCAGAGAAGAACAAAACATTTCCCTCTTGTAGCTTTCCATGGAGGACATAGGTCTTGTCCAAAAGGTCCATTGAGACATTTGTTCCACACTGAAAGGTCCTTGATATTGGGTCCTATCCAAAATGTCCAGGCTTAGAAAACATGCTGGGTTTCTAAAACACCCCATAATGTTTATTTACACTTCTGGTTTACAGAATAAATACATGGAGAAATGCCATCGTGTTTTATTGGTCCAATAATTATATTGTGGCTGTATTGCCTATAATAACCCTTCTTGCCTCAGTAGCCTAGCTGGTAATGGCTCGTGAGGTTAGGAAGGTGAGTTAGGGTTTGAATCTTACAGAAGAATGGAATTTAAATATCAAGGGCTTTTTTGGTGTGGACCAAATGTCTCCATGGATGTTTTGAACAGGACCAAATGTCCACCTACCGTAACCTGCACCCTTGGATATAGGGTGCTCCTGTAACCCATGGCTCCAGTTGTGTGATCATACCAACCTTGTCTCCCTCTTGCCTAACACCATAAATGCTTCTCCTTCTCCTTGGAGGCCATTCTTGGATTTAAGTTAGTTTCTCCACATTAAAACCCTGTGCTTATTCCACAAAAGATGCTCCCTTAGCCCTGAGTTTCCATATCTCCCATATGAGAGGTGGTTATTATAAAATATGCAATTGTGAAAGTGCAAAAATAGGGAGAAAATGTTGATCATTTAAATGTACTCAAAGGTAAGATAAACCTTGAGACTTAATTACCAATTCAGTGATAAACAATAATCATACTCTGAATTTCTTTTCTGTGGACTATCACATAAAATACAAAAATCTACAACCAAACCAATGTTTAAGTATTAATCATTAAATGTGGTCCTGCATGAAATTCTTAACCTTTTGCTATTTTAAGTAGCTTTTGTCTCCTAGTTGGTACAGGAGACTGCATTTCTGTGGCCAAATAATGAAGCTCCAGCTAGTGCACAGCCCAGCTACTTCAGCTGCTGCATCTAGTAACTTTTGTAAGTGAAATAACTAGTTTTAGATACTGATGCATTTGCCATTTGTCAGTGATCTTTACAGGGAAAGGACAGAAGATCTTGTAAGACTGATGAGAAGCCATGAAGAGTGTTTCAGTACATAATGTGTTTTATGTTGCTAGGTATATGAGTATTCTATTAACATTCTAAGTACATAAAATTGAATTTTTAAAACTAATTTTAAACAATTTTTTCTTAATTTAATGGGAGCATTAACAAAAATAAAGCTGTTGCCCTGGCTGGTGTGGCTCAGTGGATTGAGTGCCCGCCTGCCAACTAAAGGGTCCCCAGTTTGATTCCTAGTCAAGGAACATCCCTGGGTTGCAGGCCAGGTCCCCAGTAGGGGGTGGGCAAGAGGTAACCACACATTGATGTTTCTCTCCCCTGTCTTTTTCCCTCATTTTCCCTCTCTAAAAATAAATAAATAAAATCTTTAAAATAAATAAATCAATAAAATAAAGCAGTCAGTAACAGGTAAATGACAGGAATGGTTGGGTGATATTTAAAGTTACACACAGATACGTGGATTTTCCGGGCCTGCTCTCTGTTGGATTCACATCCTTTTCGGGTCTTTCTTGTTCTCCTTAAACTCTTCTTTTTCTTTCTTAGTTTCAGCATCTTGGGCCTCTTCCTCAGTGTTTTCATACTGATATTTAGTTGTTTCTTTAGTAAAGAATAAGACAGACTTTAGGAGCAGACATTCACAGAAAAAAAAAAAATCCAGTTCATAATGAATGGGGACATCCAGTGCTCCAGCCTCCAGAGAAACAGAAGGATCCAAATAATTAAGAAAAGAGCAGCTAGGCACCTTCCTACTGGTTGATATAATGCTCCCTGGCCCTCACATTTCTGCTACTTGATCATTTTTACAGTGATAGTATTTTTCCAGGAAAGCTGTACTGCTGATGACTTCTGGCACTCCAGAGAAGAAGGGATCAAGAATCATCAGGGTCCAGGGCATCCTGTACATTTTTGTCAAAACTTTCCTGTGAAGTTATTTTTTGCTTCAGCAACAAATTGTATGGTGAAGCTCATCAGTTCCTCAACCCCCTGAATGTTTAATTTTTACAAAGTCCTCCCCTATCAGTTCTAATGTTTGGGGATCAACTTTCTAAGAGTCTTGACACTTTTAGAAGCCATGAACCAACATGAAGTATGGTTCAAACATTTGCTTGTTCTTTTCCTTCAGGTTCCCTTTCCATATCTTCCCTCCCCCCACCCTTCCCTCCTGAACACATGCCCCCTGGAACATTTAGACTTTCTTCTGTGGGCCATGAACTGCACTGATGAGCTTAGATCTCTTAGCAGAGGGGAGGAGAGGGCAAAGTATTTTTTCTCTAGACAGGGAAGGTCATTATGGACTTGGGCTTCTCCTGGGGCCCACTCGGCCTGCAGTGTGTTGAGGGCCCCTGCCCACCCGAGTGAGTGTGACTGGCCACAGACCAGCTGTGCCCACCCGACTTGGGGCCTCCCCAGCCCTGGGGCCTCGCCACCCCCCATCCTCACCCTCTGGGCCTTCAGCCTTCTGCGCGGGCTCCTGGACGTCGGCCTCGGGCTGATCCTCAGGCACCATGGCTGCAGCCCCCTCTCCAGAGACCCGGGGCACGATGGCTGAGGCCCCCTCTCCGTAGCTTTCGAACACCATGGCTGCAGCTCCCTCTCCGGAGCCCTCAGGCACTATGGCTGCGGCCCCCTCTCCGGAGCCAGCCCCTTCTCCGGAGCTGTTGAGCACCATGGCTGCGGCCCCCTCTCCGGAGCCGTCAGGCACCATGGCTGCGGCCCCCTCTCCTGAGTTCTGAGGCACCATGACTGGGGCCTCCTGTCTCAAGCGCGGGGGCACCATGACTGGGGCCCTTTGTCTCAAGCGCGGGGGCACCATGACTGGGGCCCTCTGTCTCAAGCGTGGGGGCACCATGACTGGGGGCTGCATTCTGGAGCCCCAGGGGATAAAGGCAGCGGCTCCCTCCCTGGAGCCCCGGGGCACAGAGAGCATGCGGACGCGGCCCACACGGATGGGCATCTGAGACCTGGACTGAATTATTCTTAAGCGGCGGCTCGGAGGCACAACAATATGGTTGTTGTAATACAGATGGTGCAGCATTGTGCGCACCAGGTCCAGGAATACGAAGCGGAAGTCAGCCATTGGGAGCTGAATGGCGCCCGCCGCCATATCTGGGCGCTGGGGCCCCTCGTCTGCCGGTCCCATGTTGGAATCCTCCCTGCTGATACCTCCCTCCGGGACTCCCACTTCCATGGCCTCCTCACTCAAACCGCCTGCGGCCCCTGCGACTCCCACCACCCCGGCTTCACCCTCAGTCTGGCCATCGCCCTCGGCCTCACTCTCAGCCTCGCCCTCGCTCTCACCCTCAGTCTCCATCTCACCCTCCTCGTTCCCGTAGGGCCCAGAGTCATGAATCACCACGTCCTCAGCTCCTGCCTCCCAGACCCCGGCTCCTGCGTCGTCCATGGGGTTCTCCTGCCCCCCCAGGGTAGAGTTTCCCTCACCAGTGTCAGACATGGCACCAGGCAGTAGTACCTCAGCTGGGCTGCGATCAGGTTGTGCGTCAACAGCCAAGATGGTGGCCACTGAGAGGAGGCCTTGGGCAGTGGGGCCTGACGTGTGGTGGACCAGCGGCGGAAGAGCGGCTGTTGAAGGGAGAACAATTTCTCTTGGTGCCTGAAGAGGACTCACAACCGGAAAGGCAGGGGGCAGATGTCAGGAACCACCCACCAAGGCTTCACCATATGATGGTGGAGGGTGGCAGTGGGCGGGTGGAGGGGAGGTGGTTCCAGAAAAGCCAACAAAGGACCATGCCCGCCCATCATAAACGTCAAGCTCATTGGCTAAGAAGCAAAGATTGACATGCTGTGTGTCCAATGAGTGGCCAAGGCCCTTAGATTCTAGGGAGGCTCACAAGGGCCTCTGTTTTCTTTGAGGCCGTAAGGTCCTGAGCTACTTTTAGGTCCACGCAAGTCCTGCCCTTTTAATTTTGTGATTGTCTGAAAAACTATAGTAGGCTGACATGGGGGCACCCTCGACCATGTGAACTGAGAGGAATACTCCAATTTCCACTGTTATTATGGCTCATACAAGTAGAGTCAGGGTCATAAAAATGTTTTGTAGCTCATACTTCAGTAGCAGTAAAAACCTCCCAAGACTGGAGAACAAGGACTTTGGACCAGTTAATGTGGTTAAAGCTACTTGGAAAACAATGGACAGAAATGAAGTGGATCCACTTGGAACTGAATGTTGAAGTGGTAACTGACAGAAATTGGAAGGTATGTAATAAACCTGATATTCAATTTAAGCCTCTAAAGAATGAATAAAAAAAGACATATGTCCTGCAACAGACCAGATCATCTCCTAAGAGCTAAGCATGACAGACATTAAAAGACGAGGCTTCCTCGGATGTTTCTGAGGCAACAGTCCAAGACCATTGATTTTAAGATCCATTTAATCAAGACCTCAAGTGTGAGTAATTCTGAAAATTATAGAGAAATTAAATCTATTTTATATTTATTCTGTGGGAAGTTTCATAACACTAAGAATGTTTTTTGAAAAACATATATATATACATAATTAAGTAAAATATTTAGATAAATATAATATTGGATACTACATTATAATACCAATAATCCCTATCAAGGTGAGGAGGATTTTTTTCATTTCATAAACCCAACCAAATTTCAATGTTTTTATTTTTCTTCTGGTTCCATCTCAAGAATGGAGCATGGTATTTTCATAAATTATTGGTTTAAATATGGAAGGCAATGTAGAAAATCTGTACTCAAAATCCTCACTATAAAGATACCAAAACTGAGGCAGAATCCCAGTCTGAGGTCTATAGTTGGTTTTAACATTTGTTCCCTGATGTGATGTTGGGAATGTTACTTATCATTTCTAGGCCTCAGTTTTATCATCTTTAAGGATAATGATTACCTAGCTCTGAGAATCAAATAAGATAAAAGGGTGAATGCCCTATTCATACTGTGAAATTCTATATACATATTAGACATTATTATATCAATAATAATTTTTTCTGTTCTTGAACTATTAGAGAAAAGTTATAGTGGAGTCTGTCAGGTGTTCAGAGAGAATCATCTAATTTGGTTTTGGAGGAATCAGTTCTTCCAAGCTATATGGAGGTACATACTTACTCCCAGAGATAGATAGATGGAATGAGATGGTGCTATATTTAGCATATTAACCATTTGTTGAAAATATATCCCTATTTGATTTTTGTCTTCTAAGTTGGTTAATATTTCCAAGTACATAGTTTTTTATTTTTATGTTGCAAAATCTAATGATATTTTTCATGGTTTTAACATCATTTTAGGTTTGCAAATCTTTTTTATCCAGAGAAAAATATTTTATTATTTTTTTGAGATCTTCTGAATGCTTACATTTAACTCCTTAAGCCATTTGGAATTAATACCAACACATATGTAAGATTTTCATTTTAAAAAGCTCACCTATAAGCACCATTTTTTGGAGTAATTATTCCTCACTGTAATGATGTGTGGTCATGTACCATTTAGTACTTTTTTTAAAGGCAGAAGAGGTGCAAGAGAAAACATATTCTCCCAAAAATTTCAGAGCTGGAAAGGCCTTTAGGTAGTAAATCTAAGCCCATTCTTTTTAAAGTTCAGAAATAAAGGCCCAGGGAAGCTAATTGGTCTCTCCAAGGTCATGCCACTTAATGGAGCAGCCAGGACTAGTACCAGTCTTCTGACCTTTAATCTGAAGTTGAAACAGATTCAACTTCTTGTGCATGCAGCCTCAGAAGAAACTTGGGAGAAGGTTAATTAACCAGACACAAAGTAAAGGACCATGATTTGGGGGTCTCTGAAAGTCCCAGACTAACCCTCTTGATCCCCAATCAGGAAGTATTTACTAAATACCTACATACAATGCCTCATGCAAGACATTGCCACGGATTAAAAGCAAATGTCATCATCTCTGGCAACAAGCATCTCACAATCTACTTGGGAGAAAGGACTGCATGTTCAGGATAAAGTAAAGAAAAAGCATCCCCTGACACTCAGAGCTGGACTGGCACTCACAGCTAAGCCATCTTATTCTACTATTGTACCTAAACAAGTCCATAGAATACCAACATGAGACAGGGTCACTCTGAGACCATGATAAAAGGAAACAAAACAAGGTCACTTTGTAATTTTGTTTAAGCAGAGACAAAAAACAAGGTAAAAAAATATTAAACACCTCCCTCTCTTGGCTAAAATGAGTGCCTACCACTTTTTTACCAATTACAGCTTTATGATGATTCTAGTTTTCCCTCCCTGTAGATAAGATTTATTGAAATACCCATTATAGAATTCCCCTGCTTTCTAAGTATCTGATCTAGAGAAAACTTCCATTTTTTAAAAAACTTCTCCAAATAACCCAACCAAAACCCAAATCCTATAATAGGCTTTTTTCTGACACATCTTCCTGAGACACCACGTGGTTTCCCATGGTGTATGTTCCCCATATCGCAATACGTAATAAACCCAACAAGTGTGTTCCTATGGTCTTTGACTGGAGGATAATGACAATATAATACATTTCGTCTTTACACTCTCATATATTGACTCATTCAGTTCTGCAGCAGAGTCAAGAGGCATCACAACTGATGGGCTTTTTTCAGGAAGGCTTCCCAATAGGGGGAGGACTTAGATTCAGAAGATGGGCAATGTGGCCTACCTGAGAAGGCCTGCAAAGGCAGAACTTTGTCTCTACATGACCCTTGTTATGATGTGCTCATAACCTTAGAGAATCTTTGGCTATAAGAAAAGCCTGAGTTTTGGCATAGGGAATGGAAGCAGATGTTGTTCCTGGCCAGAGGGCAGACCTAGGGGATTTGATGGAAGTCCTGTGGTGAGGAAGGTACCTAATGGGACACTCCTGTTTCCTACTGCATGCTGTGAGCTATGACCAGTACTGCATCCATTCTTTCTTAGCAAAAACAAATACTCCCAGGGAGATGTTATTTTTTTTAATATTAAAAGAGAGTATTCCGCCCCAGCTGGTGTAGCTCAGTGGATTGAGCGCGGGCTGCGAACCAAAGTGTCGCAGGTTCGATTCCCAGTCAGGGCACATGCCTGGGTTGCAGGCCATTACCCCCAGCAACCGCACATTGATGTTTCTCTTTCTCTCTCTCTCTCTCTCTCTCTCTCTCTCTCTCTCTCTCTCTCTCTCTCTCTCTCTCTCTTCCTCCCTTCCCTCTCTAAAAATAAATAAAAAAAATAAAAAAAGAGAGTATTCCTGCTTTCTTTATCTCCTTCCTGTCTCTGCTCATCCCTTCATTTTCCCCCAGACCTTTCAAGAAGACCCTCACTATTCACTTGAAGAAATAGCATGTTAGCAAAACAAAACAAAAATTAAACAAAAACAGAAAACAAAATATCCATATAAATGTCGTCTAAGGTCATGAAAAGTTGGGCTGTCCACTTGAAGTTACAGGGCAAATATTTTAGACCCTAGTCATTCAATCACTCACTGAGTATGTATTAAGCACCTACTATGTGCCTGGAACTATGCTAAATGTTGGGGAATCACTGGTATGTAACAACCATGGCTTGACCTAGTTCATGGTTTAGAAGGTTATACAGACACTTTAATAATGACGATACAAGGTGTCATGGTCTAAAATAAGGATGAACACAATATTATGGGAGCATGTAGAGAAAATGATTGGTGAGAGAGAGGTGAAGGAGGTAGACTGATATCTGGACAAGTGCTCAAGAGGAGGCATTTTAAGTGGGTCCTGAAAACTAGGAGTTCAACTGTCAGTAAAGGATGGTAGAAGGGAGGTTACTGCAGTAAAGGAAGTAGCATGAGATGGCTGTGTACCTATGCAAGGAATGAAATGGCTGGATCATCAGGCAGAGTGCAGAGAGGCTTTAAAAGCATATTGGAGCCATGAATGCTTCAGTAAAGAGTTTGCCAGTTGTTCTGAAAAGTCAGTTTTCTGTCTCCCCCCAAAATAACCAATGAGATGGTGGCAGAGTTAGTGGAATAGTTTGTGGTGCATTTAGGAATGAGTAGTCAAGAAAAAGTCTGCTAAGGCCCTCAAAGGTTGTTCTAGCAAATTTTAGTATTCATATTTTTATAAAAATAATACATATTTGTTGTAGAACAGATTAACAAAGCAGATAAGCCAAAACACGGAAGCAAAAGTCACACTATCTTTTTCATAAACATTAATGACAATAAGCGATAGAAAAATGAACAAAGCACATGTATATATAAATCATATATAAATACAAATGGTTTTTTAAACATGTGGACAACTGATTTTGGACTACATATACAATATGGACATATACTCAAACCCAATGGAAATTAAAATTATATTAAGATAATGATAATCATTAGCATTTATTAAGTGCTCATTATAGGTTGGGCACTATTTTAAGCACTTACATAGATTATTTTATTTCCTTCTTGCAACATCCCTATGATGTGAATACTGTTATCTGTCTTTTGCAAATGAGAAAACCAAAACAGAGAGAAGT